CCAGAGACCGGCCTGCATGCATATTGCATGTCGATGCACGTGTAGGTGCATTTAGTTTGCTAGGAATTGTCAAGCTGAATCGCCCAGTGAGTAGGATAAGAGGCTTGGAGCCAGGGATGAGAGAGGCCACAGACATGGGGCAGATAACGGAGACACCGGGGGTCTGGGAATTTGCTATTGGAGGGACCAGACTGACCAGTGGGTTTCAGAGTCAGCTACTCGTAAGGCCCTGTGTTTGGAGCAGCTGCCAGGGAGACTGGGTTGTGTTTGTGCGTGCCTGCGCGTCAGGCAGATGGGGAGACCAGGGGCCTGGAGACCAGCTGCTGGACAGACCAAGTGCCCAAGGTCTGGGGAATCCAGCGCCCATGTGCGTGGACACGTCTCAAGAGATCCGAGTACCAGCAAGCGGTCCTGGGGGTTCACACGCTCAGGTGCTAGCAACTGGGGAGACTGAGGGAGCTAGGGGCCCGCTGCTGGGCAGAGTGGAGGTCCAAGGCCAGCTACCAGAGGGATCCATATTGTATATACATAGGCATATATGTATATATTCTCTTCTGACAGGCTTTCATTCTGATCAGCTGGGGAGGAACACGGTCAGGCCATTTGTGCTGCTGGTGTTTGCATGACGCTGTGCGTTTTCTGATCCGTGTGGCGGGCTGTGTGCTTACCTGTATATCGTGCATATGTGTGTACGTGTCCCCATCGGGAACACAGCTCAGCCTGGCTACTGCCCGAACCGGGGAACACGGGGCTGCAGCAGCCTTGCATCTGTTGGGCGACTGGATGTGAAACTCCTGACAGTTACCAGGGAGCTCTCACTTTCCTTCTTCAAGACTGTCTGCTCCTCCTGGAGGGTTCTGGTGAAATTTTCCACCTTCACAAAATTAGGCGGAGGTTTCCTAGTTAAATGTGAACAGAGACCAGTCTTGCTGAAGAAAGTATCAGGTGAGGGCACCAACGCTTGTCAAAGGAGTATCCTGAACTCCATACAGCCACCCCATGGATCTCACTGACAAAGCCAGGACCAACGTACCCCCGCTTGCCAACCAAACAGGCTTCAGCCTGTCGCGTCGGTCCAGGCCGTTACCGGCCCTCCATTCGTATGGAAGGTGCCGGTGAGAAACGAAAGGCTGAAAAGGCTGGGGAAGCAGTGTGGCACAGCAGGCTTGACCAAAGGGCTAGGACATTGCAGTTTAAACCTGGTACAAGTAAGTCAGGTCCTGTACTACAGTTGTCGCAGGTTGGTGTTAAACGTTCAGAAAGCCTCAATGCTAAACGTTGAATTTCCCCGAAGCTCTGCTCCCACTTCAGGGGCGGACTCCCCTCTGCCCACCTCCTCCTCTGGATGGCCTTTGCCGCCTCTTTCAAGTCACCGTCAGCTGGGCTCCCCGGTACGACCTCTCGGGCAGCTCTGCTGGCTCCTCACGCCAAGGCCCCACAGAAATGCACCTCACTCCTCCCCGCAAAGGGGAGCCTGGCGGAGGAACGGGAACTGCTGGAGCATCCACCGGACTGCCTCCAGCACCCACGGCCAGCCACCCCTCTCCCAGCTTCAGAAGCTGACTTAATTCCTGAATTAGTGTGAGGAAGACCAGGGCAAGTCAGGGCTTGCTTGGAGCTGTAAGCAGCGTCCCTGCCACCTGGTCCTTGCACGAAAGAGCCATTCTGTGGTACCGGAGGAGCTGTTCCCCACCGCTGGGCAAGGTCAGCTCTCACGTGGAGACTGTCGCTGCCACCAAAACTTCTCTGCCTGCAAACACCTCTCAGGACTTCCCACCTGCACTTCTTTATTTGAATTTGCTAACTCCAACGTGAAAGCACCTTACATGTATCTGCCTGTCTAGCACTGATCTCCAGTACTAAGATAGCTTTAAAGCAAAAAGGCTAAAGATTAATTTCAGCAAGAGATGGTCTCAGGCTACAAGTTACAAGGCTAGAAATGAAGTCTCACACTTAAAATGCCCATGCACCTTCCAACTAAATTTAACACATCTCTAACCCATACCCTTGGACAGGTTGATGAAGATGGCCCCAGAGACCTGTGCAAGGCTTCAAGCTTTACCACAACATCTCCCTTTCTGAATGCTGCCCTCGGGACGTGGCTTTACATTGCGGCAAAGTTGCTGTGCTCATTCTAAACCCACCTCCAGCTTCCCTTCCCAGGGAAACCACACATGCTTATTGCCCCACTTGCCACAGATTTAATGATCGCACAGCCACAGGGGAAGTCAGCTCAGCTAGCTGAGCCAAAGGAAACGGTCACACGCTGAGGGCAGGCTACCAGCTAAATACATTTATTCTGCAGCTGAACGTCCAAACCAGCAGGGAGGGGAGAGGGACTGCAAGCCTCAGCCGGGACGAGGCTGCTCTACTGCAGCACTAACCTCCTCCTCGCACCCCACGTGGCTTTATATGCATTTGAAATTCTTCCTTGCTTTGTAATGTTTCTAATACTACGTACCAGAAAAAGTACCAGGTCTATAACGACTGTGTCAGGTTTACGACGATCGGTACTTCACTGGCGCTCTTTAGAAGCTGCAGAGGACACACCGACAACGCAGACGACTGTTGGCAGCAGGCTATTTGGGTCACGCAGCCTTTGCCAGCACTCTCCTGACCGCAGCTTTCGGGGGACTTTCTGGCTGCAAGAACCGTGCCCACGCACAGGACGGACAGAGCAAACGGCCCCATGGGGAGCTGCTCTCCAGAAGGTTTGGTGCAAGTATGGAGCGCAAATCTGGGCCCCGCTAACAGCAGAAGGAGAACAGAGGAGAGGTGTGCTCTTCCCACTGGAATTAAGGCCAAGCGCCGGCCTGCACCTCTGCTGAGACGTCCTCAAGCCTGGCTCCGCTCTCCCCTTCGCCCTGTGGTCCCCCAGCTGCGGGTCCCTGTGCTCCCAGCAGCAGGCAGCTCCGCGTCCCCGCACGTTGGCTGTCGGTCCTCCCACCCGCCCTGCGGCAGCGCCACGCGCGCGGGCACGGCACCACCCGTGGGACTCCCCGTTTCAGACAAAGGGACAGCACCTTGGCACGGACACATCACAGCCGGTCCCTGCGTCGGGCACAGGGTCTCCATCAACTACGCATTCAACGTCAAGTCCATCACTGTGTCTGAGGTACTCGCTCTGGAAAAAGTATTGCTAGATCCCACAAAGCACTGACAGGAGCTCCAGGGTGCCAACTGCCCGGGACAGAGGTGATGACCACCCCTGGAAAAGGGAGCATTTTTCAGTGTAAGCTTCAGACTGCAGAGCGGATCGCAGCAGCTGAGCTGAGCAAAGCCTCCCCGCCCGCCTCCCCAATCCCAGGAACGCTTCCACAACCAGTAAAACTTCACACGTCCATCTGCCAGAAGTGTGCAGCTCCGCTTGCCTTACACCACGCACAACCACACCTACACCACACCACCACCACGTTGGACCAATGCAGATTTCATACACGGCATTACTGGGTTTAAAGCCTTATGATTTTTGCATGGGAAGATGCGAGAAAGCAAAATCCCACGGGATGCCAGCCCTTCCCCTGACTGTAGGGACTGACTGAGGAGACTGGCAGCGAAGCCTGACCACGCCACCCACCTCAAACCTTCACGCGAAGCTCCCCTTCCCACCCCATCTAATGCACCGTTGTTTCACAGACCCGGCATCAATTCGGCCTCACTCCCCCTCTTCTGCCACCGTTGCTCCCTCGGAAGGGGCAGGATTCATCTCACATCTCTTCCTGCACTGACAGTGTATACATCTCTACTTGAAACAAACTCTCTGGGATCCCTTTAGAATTAAGGCATCTCGACTCAGTGATTCACAAACACGTAAATAATTTCTCAGCTGCCTTATTGTAACAGCCTTTTCTCTGGCTTTAAGAAATGCAGACTTGGCCTATTGCTACCATACCCATTTGGCATGGATTCTGAACACAATTTTCACTTGCAAGTGCCACAGTACTGTCTCCTGCAGCGAGGAGAGTCCCTATACACATTAACAAATTAATGTTATCACTCTCTTTTAAATCACTCCTTAAAACTATCCTCTGCTGCGTTCACTACAAGATGAAGCAGCCCATGTGCCCAGACTGCTCCTTGCAGTGTCATCGCACTGGCCAGAGACGGCGCGCACCGGCACGGGAGCAGCCCCGTCGCCCCCGCGCTGGGACACAGCTGTCACCGCCGGTACCGCGCAGATGCTGCACACCATACAGCTCCTACCACGAGGTTTTCCTGACCTGTCGCTGAGGTTCTGGGCGTACACTAATACAAACAATAACGAAATAGTAATAATGGCAAGCTGCGGGAGCGAGCAAGTGCTGTCACTGCTGGAGACTGCCAGCCAGCTTCGGAGCCCTACCCCGGTTTTCTCCTCAGTCTCCTGCCTGTGCCCGGGGAGCCTGCACCCCCGTTTCACCTCGCCGCGCCCTCGAGCCACTTGTTTAACGTGAAGTTGCCAGTGACTCTAATCCTTGCTTTCCTTTGTGTTAAACGTAATCAGGAAAATCCAGTCGGCTGTGGCCTCGGAGCGGAGCGAAGGCAGTACCCAGCCTCCAACATCGCCTTCCCGAGAAAGGGAAAGGCCCAAGGGGGAGATACAAGAGCAGAGCCCTACATACCTGGTCAATCTAATTCTTCTCTACAGACCCCAACTCTTGTACCAGGTTGGGCAAAGCTGTAACAAATATCAGTACAGAACAACCCGGATTGGCCTCCAGAGAGGGCACCTACTGAGTCTTTTCTCCAACCTCCATTTTCCTCGTAATTTCGGTTAGCAGAAGGGAACCTGCCAGCTCATCTTCCAGCACAGAGAACACAAATCTGCTTGAATTATTGTACCTGAAGTACATTTTTTCATCAAGACATCCTGGCAGCAGGCATTTCCGTAACAATTATTACGCAGTGTTCAAAACACCTCATAAAGGAAAATAACTTTATGCAAGACATCGGCCCTTGTCCTGCAGAGGAAGATGCCGCTGGCAGCCATCGGTCCCTCTCCCTGCCGCATCCAGGCTCACCTCAATCAGAAAGTCTCCCGTGCGAAGCCCTGCTCTCCAAGCGACACCTTCCACATCCACTGATTCCAGGTACTGGAGCGCTGGGAAGGCTGGGGTTGGGGTGAACTCCTCAATTGGGGTTTCAGCTACAAAACACAAAGAGAGAGAGAGACTGAGATAGTGTGGGAAAAAGCAAGCAGAAGGCGGACAAGAATGTCCAGGAGCCTAGGAAAATCTCTGTACATCAGTTCAGAAAGAACACGTATGCAAGGCTCAGCTTGACTTCAATGCAGGAACCAGAGCTAACGCTCATTACTGGTTTTCATGTGTTACCAGACAGACGGCCGCTCCCAATAGCCTGTGCCACCGATGAGGAAAGAGAGGAGCTACCTTTCCAAGAAAAGTGCTGCTTCTTGGCACCACGACGCCTGGCCACTTGTTCGCACAGCCTTCCAGGGAGCAGCACCTACAGGGTCACTGCAGCCCTGCCTCCACTTAGTGGTAGTCCCAGGACTAGGGAGGGGACTGTGCCCCCTCCAGTGAACTGCGCTGCGCTGGGTTTGGAGCTGTTTGCAGCCAGCAGCAGCCTCAAAGATGAAGCTGAAGACGGGCTACCAGATACAGGAGTACTCGGCAAGTGGGGGGCCGGGGGGTGAAGGTGCAATATTGGATCCACCTGTCCCAGGTACTCTGTCTTCCCTGCCTGCAGAAACAGGGGACGGTGTTTGACATCACCTGGCTGTCATGGACAGAGGAAATTATTGACACATTAAGAATAAGGGGCTGAAAACCCCAGGCACGCTCTGGCAGATCTGCGCTCCCCTGAAAGCGTGATATGCATTGGAGGGTCAGCGAGTGGGTTTTGCTCCTTCTCCACCCGGGACAGACGCTTTGCTCAAGGCTAGCTGTCAAATAACAGATCGCAGTCGTACGGCAGAAGTCCTCTCCTGCAACAGCAGTACAGCAGTCATTCTGCTGAGCAGCTCTTGAACATACTTAAATCACCAGGAGGAGATGGGGCTAACAAGCCGTTGTTTTGCCTAATGATGCAGCGTATGTCAGGCACCAAAAGATATTATTGTGCCTGAAACATTACTGTGCCTGAAACATCTACGTTTTGGCTGCTGACCAGTGGCTGGCCAACAGCATGGCACTGCCACTTGCACGGGGTCAGTTTAAAAGCGTGATGCACAGCTTCTGGCACCGATGGTGTTGATGCAGATTAGCTCAGTCCACTGCTCTATACAAGCAGCAGAAGTTTCGGTCTAGTGCTCTTGACTGGCGGGCATACAGAGTCCTGGCAGATGGCTTATTTGATGTTGCAGGAAGTTACTTTGCATTACTTTCTCTGAAGGGTAATTAATAGAGGAACATGAATTAATACAGGGCTTGCAAACCAGCACTAAGACCAGCACAAAAGACTCCCAGAGCTTGGCTGTGATGGCTCATACTGTCCTCCCCTCGAGCACAGTAATTCTTACAGGTGTAGGAGAGAAGCTAACGCTGGTTGGTAAGAAATGCAACAGCGAGGCCACAGTTGCCTGAAACAGCTGGCTCAAACATGTGCAGAGCCTAGGAATTCAAACCAGAGACATGTTCCTCAAACCCGGGCCAGGCTGGCGGTTTTGGGGCCAGGTGAACCGAAGGCTCTCGCTCAGGGCCTTTCAGCGGACTGATGGAGGTGTCTTTTTCCCACATGAATCCTTAGTCCATGCAGGATTCACTGTCTCATCTTCATTCAGAAGAGCCAGTGGTGAAAAGACACTCTTTGCTAGTGTAGGGACAGCTCTCAGCAGGATGCACCGAAGGATCCAGGCTAACTTTCTAAGAAATCAAACACCAAATGTCTCCTTTAGTGGCTGATGATGCTTGAACAAACCATTTGCCTTAGAGACATGCAACAAGCAAGTCAGGAAAAGCCATGATTATCTAGTCTGATATCATGCATGACGAGGGCCAGAGCCTTCAACAAAGGTCCCTGCAGGTCCGCCTCTCACCTCAGCTGATGTATGCAGAAAGCGTGGTTTATTTTTGTTAGCCATAGAGCTAAAGATGTACTGTATCAACAGGCCTAGATAAGTTATCCACACTGTAAGGCTATTATCAAAACAATATATTTTTTAAGAGCTGTGTCAAAACCCTGATGAAGCAGATTTAATAGCAGTCAGGGGATGATCTTGGGCATACATCTCCTTTGACGTCAGGTCACTCCAGTAAATGTGACCTACTTTCTCTTCCATTTGTGTAAAATGCATAGACACTGATGTTCTACAGGGAGAAATATTTCCATCATTTACCATACTACTTCTTTGTTACTTTATTTACAATTTTTATGCAAGATCTTTTCTGCTAACTCAGATAGCCTCAGCTAGCACCAGACCAATACAAAGTTTGCCTAAGATGTTAATATGCTGAATGATCTGATTATGCTTAGATGCTTTTTATCAACAGCTTCCCATGACTTCTTCCTTTCACGGAAACTAGCTTAAGTGGCAAACAGTTGACAAGTCATCCTACCTATTTTTAGAAATGCCAATGTAACATTTCATTTCTCCAAATCCTTCAGGACTTCCCCAGTTTTAAATTCAACTCTTCGGATCAGTGACGACCAGCTAGTTGTTTCAATAGTCTGAAGTTCAAAGAACCACAAACATGGCCTCGCTGCAGACTGCAGCTGCAAAACTAGGTGCCCGTTAACTTGTGCTAGGCGCAGGCCCAGAATGGTATCGGGTTTAAGGTGAGAAAGACCTTGTGTATTGCCTGAACCTCTGAAAACAAGAAAAGGGGAGACTCGGGCTCTCTGAATGTCAAGTAAATTATTTATATAATGCTAATGAGACGTAAGGTCTCTGTAGAATATCAGCACTGTACTTCACAAAACGGGAGCATCAGCATGACATACCAGTACTGCCCTCTCATCATACCTGCATCATAATTAAGTCATGAAAAGGTTAAGTGGAAGCCCTGATCCCTGGGGAGGACAGAGCCGGACAGATGACAATTTAATTGGTTTCCTAGCCAGGAGAAGGAGCCTGACGTGGGCAAACCAGGTATCACAGCGGCTCCAGATACACCCGTCCCATCGGGCTTACCCGCGCTGCGACCCCACAGTTGCGCAATTCAGAAGCGCTGCCCCGCGTTTCCCCCCCATGGGGCTGACGACAGCCCGTGGATGGTGGAGAAATCCTAAATTATAGCTCAGAGAAGAGTCATCTGAGGGGTAGTTCAAGGATGCATTTTTCTTATTGGTAATCAAGGATATAAACTGATAGGGAATACAGATAAAATTAACCTAGGAAACCCAGCCTTATAGCCAATTTTGTCACCTGCGTTATTGATGTGTTACATGAGGACTCCAGGCACACCATTTTCCGTGGGCTGGAAGCCATACATCTACAGTAACCGCACGCCGCGATACACCATTTGTAAAGTGTCACTAGTGTCTTAAAGATTCAGTAAACAAGAAAATGCATTCTGAAGTCAGAACTGCACGCTTATGAAACAAATACTAGAAGCATAATTTAATATGGGGGGGGGGGAATGTAGCCAGAGGAAGCCACCAGCTCTCCCCTGCTACTGCCTGAAGTCCCAGCACTCGGTCACAGGGAACAAGAACGAAGCTCTAGTAATGGACAAGTAAACACAAACTAACCCACCCCTTCGCCATGCAGAGAATGAGGTCTGCAGGGCCAGCTGCTCCAGGCGTCTCCAACGGCCACATCGGGCAGGAGCTGTGACCTCCAGGCATAGGCGCAATCCAGCACTGGATTTCCCATCTGCCTCAATTAACTCGGAGGCTCAGGCAACAGAGGGGAAACCTACTGTTTACTGGAGTCTGCAACTGTGCTTCCGTGCTTCAGACCGTCCCTTACGGCTGCGTTTAGTTATTACTCAGTCAAATACACCAGTGCTGTGCTTATACCTGGTCAGTACGGAAACTGCTGTGTACTTTACCGCAAGGGACCTGTAAAGGGAGAAGATTCTCCTGCAGTACACAGCAATTAAAGCTCCCTGGGTAAGTGCCAGAAAAGTTCTAACACCAGCTTACCACCTGAAAGCCCAACCCTGCCTTACCTGCTAGGCTGACGGATACCGGGCACATCGTTTTCTCAGAACAGAACAGCACTAAATGAAACGTACGTTGACAGCAACCCTGTGGAGCACCTGCAAACCACGGCACGGGCAGGAGACCGTGGTGGTGGGGATATCTCCTTCCAACCACAAGAGTCTGCTGAAAGGGGCAGAAGCACCTCTGGAGAATACTGCTCCGGCAAAGGCAAGGAGTGACCAGAAAACCCACCGGTATGGGACAAGCCCTGACTGCCACCCCTCCGTCCCCATGGCAGTCTGTCCAGCCTACAAGCCTGATGTGGGAAACCCACACTCCTCTGGGTCACGGGAGATGGAGCCCTGCAGGGGATGCGCTGCTGCACACGCTGCCCGGGCACGCCGTACGCAGACATCCATGCGCTGGCTGCAGACAGCACGCCCTTTGAAACACCCTGGAGTCAGCACTGGGCACGGTGAAGTGATGGCTCAGAGCAGACCTCAGGAGCACTCCCCGCCTGCTCTTCCCTAAAAGCCAGCCGTTCGGAGGTGGTGGGCACATGCTGATGCTGCCAGGACTGGAGCACGCACCAACCTGGCACCAAGATGCTCGATCCGTCTGTAGGGCTGTTGTGCTGACAGCCAGAGACCAAGGAGCAGGCTGGACACACGGGGACGATCAGAAGAACAGATTCGGTTTATTGCCCTGATCTGGGCTGTGGTGATCAAGCACAGAGCTGCCCAGCAGACACCCTGCCAAACAGCCCCAGTCACACCATTCGCGTACCTGGTAACCTTTTCCCGGTTCTTGACACTCCTTTTTGCTGCCCCAGCTTCCTCCCAAATGAACAATCTGCCTCTAGCTGCTTTTCCCCGCTCACCCCAGTTCTGCTACATCTGCACTCAAATCTGGTACTTCCAATACCATTACCAAGGTAATCTTGGCCTTATCGGCATCACCGAGAGGTCACCCCCAAGGGGCTCCAGTATTCCCTGTCAGTTATCGGTGAAGTTTGGCCACTTCTAGCATTGCTCCCCCTCACACACTGACGGCACCCAGCCATTCCGCCGCAGCACTGCCTGTGACTTCGTCAGCTCC